GCCACCGGGGAGGCCCCCTGGGAGAAGTTTTTTTTAAAGATTTATTTATGCATATAAAAACTGGGGTGTAGGCCAGAGGTGCAGGAAGTGGAGGAGTGATTGAAAGGATTCACCAGAGACAGAGTGGAGAACAGAGCAGGTGGACTTACTGAAATACACTGCTGAGGGGAGCAGCCAGCGAGACAGGAGAGGAGCTATTGAGCCATGTGTGGAGCCCTGGCTGGAGATTGAACTCATGACACAGTGTCTGGCAATAGCTTGACAACGCTGAGACTTGAACCTCTGAGCCACCAGGGAAGCCCATCCTAAGACAAGTTTTTATGTGGGCCAGAGCTCTGAGAGAATTTATCACCAGTGAGTGGCCTAAGGAACCCCTCCCTTTCAAGGCACTGTGGGATTCCCTTTTCAATCTGATCCCCACATGATAGGCTCTAATCGGACTTGAACTGAATCTTAAGCCACCTTCTTCCACTACTATCAAGTGATCTTGGTGAAATTTAAGTTGTCTGGGACCAGGTTTCCATGGTAACATCCCTCTTGAAGGCCTGATGAATGGATTAAGTCAGAATGTTGGTATAATGCTGGAGCATTACAGCATACAGCCAATTTTTGTATACTTTCCATTACCAGTGCCCCCCCGACCCCCGACTTTTTTCCTATATAACACATTTGTTCAAATCCATTTACTTTGATTTTCAGGTCTTGAGGCAGTTCTTTGATCTAACAGTTCACTTTTTGGTGGTCTTAGAATTGGTTTGGTTTGGCAGCAAAAGTAAATATCACTCGTGGTCATTTACAAGAACTACTGTTCAAATATATCTAATTATTCTGCAGTACAAGAATAATGGGGGCAGGGAACACGTATTTGTTGAATTTCCTATTGTATACCACTACTATGCAGGCACTTTTAAGCCTTACCTTACCCTACACATTAGATTTTTCATTAAGCAGAAGAATTAAAAGGTTTTACAATTTTGTATCTGAATCATAGTAGTCATTCACAAATAATTGTTGGCTGAATAAGTTTTCTTACATGTTTTAATCTAAATTTCACAAATGAAAAAAGAGGAAATAAAAAAAGAAAAAAATAATAAAAAGAAAAAAACAAAATAAATTTCACAAATGTTCAGGCATGGGCAGATGTGTTCCCAACCTTAAAATAAGACTGAAAATTGAGTTCTCAGGGAAATTGGAGTGTATGAAGCTATTAATTTTTTTTAGATTTATTTATTTTTATACAAGCACTGGGTAGAGTCAGAAGCGCAGGAGGGTGAGAGAATTCACCAGAGCCAGAGCGGGGAACAGAACAGGCAGAAGGACTGAAATACACTGCTGAGGGGAGCAGCGGTCTGGCAGGAGAGGTCTGCGCGCTCTGTGGGACCCTCACCCGGTGGCCAGGATAAAACTGGCGCAGCAGAGGTTGTGGCAGCTTCACAGCCCAGCACTCAACGCTGCGCTCAACATTTTCCATCTTTCAGGGGAGGCCCTGAAGTTATTATTAATAAATTGATCAGCCAATATGTATTGAGTGAATGCTATGAGCTCACACTATGACAAGACCTGGCGCACATGAGACCACACTACTCCCAGAACTGAGGTGCCAAGACGAGGGAGAGGGTACCTACTTGATAATATTCTCACCAGCCTGGACATGGTGGAATGGGCAGAGACCTTTGTAGGTTTTCAGAGAGACTCTTGGCAGGACTGAGGAAGTAGGACTTAGCAGGAAAGTGACTAAGTTGGTGTTGTGACACTTGGGTTCTAATTCTGGCTCAAGCTTAACTAATTGGGAGATTTGGGGCAAGTCCCTTAACCTCTCTAGACATCAGTTTAATATCTGGAAAAGAAAAGGGGGTATTGTTCAGTTAAGTACCTTCTAATTCTTATATTCTAGAATTCCCTCTCAACCACACTTATTTTTCCTTTGAGAAGAAAATATCTTCTATTAAGTCAATCAACAATACTCATAAAACACCCACTATACTCTGATTTTACTATCATGTCCCCTCCTCCGAGGTTGTTTTTCATTATTATTTTAACTGTCACAAACTGTGACAAAATGACTATCCGAACCATTTTAAGTGCACAATTCAGAGTGTTGAGTACATTCACCTTATTGTGCAACCATCACTACCAGCCATTTCTTGAACATTTTCCATCTTTCAAAACTCAAACTGTGAATCTGTTACATAGTATCTCCCATTCTGCTCTTCCAGGCCCTGGCAGCCACAATTCTACTTTCTGTCTATGGACCTGACTACTCTTGGTACCTCATATAAGTGGAATCATCCATTTGTCTTTTTTGTGACCGTTTCATTCATTTAGCAATGTCCTCATCTATGTGTAGCATGTGTCAGAATGTCCTTAATTTTAATGCGAATAATACTCCACTGCATGTATATGCCATGTTTTGTTTATCCATTCATTTATTGATGGACACTTGGGGTGTTTCCACCTTTTAGCTCTTGTGAATAATGCTGTTATGAACATGTGTATATAAATATCTTTTTAAAAAAGATTTATTTATTTATGCATACAAGAACTAGGTGGGGTATAGTCCAGAGGTGTAGGGGGGCGGGGGCAGTGAGAGGCTTCCCAGAGACAGTGGGGGGAACAGAACAGGCAGATTGACTGAAATACACTGCTGAGGGGAGCAGCAGGCGAGTCAGGAGAGGTCTGCTACTCCATGTGGGTCACCTCCTTGGCTGGGGATCGAACTCCTGCTGCAGTCGCTGTGCATAGCTTCTTAGTGCTGTGTCTCAACCCCTTGCACCACCAGGGAGGCCCTGTATATAAATATCTTTGAGAGCCTGCTATCAATTCTTTGTGGGTGTATACTCAACAGTGGAATGCTGGATAACATAATTCTATTTTTATTTTTCCAAAGAGTTATTTCTTTGCTTTTCCTAGTGGCTCTACATCTTACATTCCCATGCATGGTGCACAAGGGTTCCAATTTCTCTACAATTTTGGCAACACTTGTTCTTTTCTCTTTTTTATTAGTAGTCATTCTAATAGGTGTAAGGTAGTGTTTAATTGTGGTTTTGACTTGCATTTCCTACAGATCAGTGATATTGAGCAACTTTCATGTGTTGTTATCATGTATCTTCTTCAGAGAAGGATCCTTCATCCTTTGTGCATTTTAATCTTTGCCCATTTTTATCGAGTTGCATTTTGTTGTTGAGTTGTAGGAGTTCCTTTGTATCCCTTGTATATTCTAGATATTAACTCCTTACAGATACATGATTGCAAATTTTCCTCCCTTTCCACAGGTTGTCTTTTCATTCTATTGTGTCCTTTGATGCACAGAAGTTTAAAATTTTGATGTAGTCCAATTTATAAACTTCTTTTTCTTTTGTTGCCTGTGCTTTGGTGTCACAGCCAAGAAAATGTCATGAAGTTCCCCTCGATCTTTTATTCTAAGAATTTTATAGTTTCAGCTTTTACATTTAGTTATTTGATGCATTTTGGATTAACTGTGTAGATGGTATAAGAGGTTTAAGCTTCATTCTTTTGCTGTGGTTATTCTATTTTCCCAACACCATTTGTTGAAGAAATTACCCCCTCCTCATAGTCCTGGAACCCTACGAATATCATTTAGCCACATATGAGGGTTTTTTTGCCACCAACTTTTGAGGGGGAGGCGGGGAAGGGAGCTATAGAAATGACATGGTCTGTGCCAAGGCAGTCCCGTTAGAATTGAACACTCTGTCCTGCGTGTACACGTACTTGTCCAGCGCTGGTTGTGTGCTCAGGGTGTTAGGGGGAAAGGCAGTCCCAAAGCAAATTCCATACAGGCTTTGTGGACTCCACCCCCACCCCAGGTCAAAGCCAAAGACACTGGGAACTCCAAATCCCATCACCACCAAAGGGAAGGTGGCTGGGACCTGAGGGTGGGGTTAAGCAGCCAGGTGGATACAAAGGCAGACACGTGGGCTTTGGGGAGCCCCCATTTTGGCTCTCTGCCAGCTCCCAGCGTCAGGCCAGCTCTGAGAATGGCTAGCTCAGCCGCGAGCTGCCGAGGGCCCCAAAATGGAGAGCGCCCCCAAAGCCCACGTGTCTGCCTTTTGTATCCACCTGGCTGCTTAACCCCACCCTCAGGTCCCAGCCCCTTCCCTTTGGTGGTGATGGGATTGGAGTTCCCAGTGTCTTTGCTTTGACCTGGGGTGGGGGTGGAGTCCACAAAGCCTGTATGGAATTTGCTTTGGGACTGCCTTTTCCCCCTAACAAGGGGACACTCGGCAGTGTCTTTCCCCTTTGCCTCTAAAGCTTCCCATCCAACCAGCGCGGTAGACAGGATGATCCTCTTTAGTAGAGGAGTAAACACAGACCCCAGAAGAGCACAGACCCCAGAAGGAACAGAGTGAGGATTTGAACCCGGAATCCTGGCTCCATGTGTGTTGCAGATAAGATGGACCTCGGTGTTCTCATCTCCAAAACGTGAACAGACTAAAGTGAGACGGCCTAGGATCCCATAGGATAAGAAGCCGCTAAAAGTGAGGAGGCTAACCCGGCCCAACCTTCCACCCGCGACACCAGTACCCATGCCTGGAGCCACACCCCAGGGCGGACCCAAAGCCCAAACCCGGAATCCAGGCGCGGCCGGGCTGTACCATTGGCGCGGGGGGAGGACATGAAACAGAAAAATGTCTGCGATGAGATTGTCGTTGAAATGCCCTCGTAGTCTCTCCACAGGGAAATGGTACACTTCTCACTCCTCTGGCATTAGTTTCTTTGTCCCTCTCCCTTTTACTCCCCTCCAGAGGAGTTATTTCTTCCCCCCTGCCCCCCTTCATTGAATTGCCTCTTGGTACCCGCACCCCCAGCTCGCGGCGGCGAGGCGGCCGCCCAGGTGGGCACTGCGCATGCGAGTCCCCGCCGCGGGGGTGAGGATGGGTGGGGGGAGCAGGGACTCCGCCCCTTCGCGGCCCCACCCGTGACGTCGCGGGGGGCGCCGGCCTCCGCCGGCCCCAGCGGTGAGAGCTAGCGGCGGGCGGACCCGACGCAGCCAGACCGGGAAGGGATGCGGGTGTGGAGTTCCTGCTGGAGGGGCTTTGTGGGGGAGGGGAGGCCCAAATGCTGCACCAGCCGCTGACCCTCAGGCTCTGCCCTTCCCCTTCCTGCTTTTTCTCCCTTTCCAGATGTGCCGGGACGGGAAGCAGGGCAGGGGTGAGCATTGTGACACCTGCATTTCCAGGGAGCCTTTCTTCTCCCTCTATCTCCTATGTTTATCTCGCCTTCCAGGTGTTCCTTTTCATCAGGGGTCGCTCCTCGCATTGGAAAGAGCACTCCACCTGGAAACCGAAGACGGGTTTCAGACCTGGGCCCTACTACTCCTTTAACAAAGTCCCCAAACCTCAGTTTTCCCCAGTATTTTTGCCTTGCCGTACCTAGGTCTGAGGGTCCGTATGACACAGAGAAATAGGAAGGAAGTGGGCATTTGTCGAAATCCTGCCTAGTCAAATACAGTGCCAGCTGCTTTAGCGTCCATGATTATCTTCAATTAAGTGGTTTTCTTAGAATCCCAATTTCACAGAGTCTTAAGCTAACAAATAGATCATTTTCTCACATAACCTTTGAATGGCAGAGGGGGATACAGAGTGAACAGTTTAGCTACAAAGGGAAATTCTTCCTTTTGAAAGAACTGTTCTTGGTCGGAACTGTTCTTCAGCCAAAACTAGCCCAGAAACTGCTTCCTGAATTTCTTTGCCCCATGAATTCTTTTTTTGGGTTCCTTTTTCCAGCTCAGTGTTTTCTGCTCTGCTTCCTCTTTGATTACTTCAGAAATGAAATGCAGCAAACATTTATTGAGGGGTGCAGAGAAATGAACACTTGGCGTCCTGTATGCAAGTCTTCTTGTCCTGGTTGTGCCATTAACCAGCTATGTGGCCTTGGGCAAGTCCCTGTCTTCTGGGTGCTTTAGCTTCCCTTTGAATAAAATGGGTAAGTGCCTTCTGACTGGCTCTTGTTCACTTCTCCCTTCCTGTTCTTCAGCAGGCTCTCTCTGGAGGCCCAGACCCCTCTGCTCCCCATGGGCAGCTGCCAGGCTGGGCACAACCTGCATCTCTGTCTGGCCCATCACCCACCTCTGGTGTGTGCCACTTTGATCCTGCTCCTTCTTGGCCTTTCTGGCCTGGGCCTTGGCAGCTTCCTCCTTACCCACAGGACTGGTCTGCGCAGCCCTGACGTTCCTCAGGTAAGTACCCTCCTGCTTATTCTTCCCATTTGGGCTGCTCTTGCTGCTAATCTCTCACCTTTCTCCCACCTTCCTTTTGCACACAGGACTGGATCTCCTTCTTGAGATCTTTTGGCCAGTTGACCCTGTGCCCCTTAAATGAGACTGTCACAGGGAAGTGGCATGGGTCTCACGTCGTGGGCTTACTGACCACCTTGAACTTTGGAGACAGTCCATACAGAAACAAGACCCGGACATTTCAAGCCACAGTCCTGGGTAGTCAGATGGGATTAAAAGGTGAGATTAGGGAAGACTGTTGGTTGGGCATCAGAACACTCAGAGCTGGGCCCGACCTCTGACCTCACCAACTTGGTGACTTGGGCACATCTCTGGGTCTTAGTTACTTTCGCTGTGATACGGACTAGATTCACTTGGTGAAGATATTGCCCACATTGTGGGTTCTCAATAAATGTTTTCTCTTTCCTCTTCCAGCTCTGAGATTCTTTGATTCTGCCATTGGAATTATTATGAGATGGTCTAGAAAGAGCCTAATGTTCTTTCTCATCCCTAATCATCCCTACAGCCTTTTCCTCTTTGAGGCATCTTTTTTTTTTTCCCTCAGGGATGTCAGAGAAACATGTTTTGTTCAGTTAAATTAGTGTCATGAGTGCCTGCTATGTGCTTTGCACAGCTCTATGTGTCATAAGAGGGTACTGAAAAAATTAGACATCACCCATTCTTAAATTGCTTAGAGTCTTCTGGGAAAATGACAAGTGAGAGAGCGAGTTAGTGGGTGTCATTAATTCCTGCATGAGAATTTGGCCTCAGATTCCTTATCTAAAAAATGGAGAGATGAAGTAGGAGGAGAGAAATGTACGATTCTCTTGACTTCTGAGTTTCTTTCCAACACTACCATTCTTAAGATTCTCCTGTAAATTGTATTTGTTTGTGTGTGTAGTGGTGGTGGTGGGGTAGGTCCTGTATGTCCAGGTGTACATGTATGTGTTATGAGAATGAGAATAAAGGAATGTGTCTGATATATACAGACTTGAGACCATTTTTCCTATTGTTATTGATCCATGATTCACATACCATAAAATCACCCATTTAAGATGTGAAATTAACACATTATTGTGATTATTAATGGACTTTTGTATATTCACAAAAGTGTATAACCATCACTATAATCAATTTTAAAACATTTTCATGACCCCAAAAAGAAATCCTGTACCCATTAGCAGTCACTCTTTTTCTACCTAATCGCCCAGTTCTAGACAACCACTCTCCATCTCTGTTGATTTGCCTGTTTCATACAACATGTTTTTTTTTTGTGACTGGCCTTTCCACTTAGCAGAGTGTTTTCAAGTTCATCCATACACCAATGTGTCATTTTTATTGCTGAATAGCATTCATTGTGTAAATATTTATCTTTATCTTGTCATCAGTGGACTGACATTTGGATTGTTTCCGTTGGCTATTATGATTGATACTGCTATGAACACTTCCGTACAAGTTTTTGCACATATTTTCATTTCTCTTGGTGTATATACCTAGGAGTAGAATTGCTGAATCTATATGGTAACTATGTTTAATCTTTTGAGGAACTTCCATATTCTTTTCCAAAGTGGGGGCATCATTTTATATTCCTACTAGCAGAGTGTGAGAGTTCCAGTTTCTATACATCCTCACCAACATTTGCTAGATGTTTTTCTGATTACAGCAATCGTAGTAAGTGTGAAGTACTATCTCACTGTGGTTCTGATGGCTAGTGAGTATTTTGTGTGTGTGTGTACTTATTGTCCATTGTATATCTTCTTTGAAGAAATATAAATGCAGAGTCTTTGCCCATTTTTAAAATTGGGTAATTTGCCTTTTAATTATTGAGTTGTGAGGGTTGTTTATATTTTCTCAGCAAAATTCTCTTATCTAATGTGTGATTTGCAAGTATTTCCTCCTATTCTCTGGGCTGTCTTTTCACTTTGTTGATGGTGTTCTTTGAATTACAAAATTTTTAGTTTGGGTGAAGTCCATTTTATCTGCTTTTTCTTCTGTTACTTGTGCTTTTAGTATCATATCTATGAAGACTTGCCTAAACCAATGTTGGTAAGATTTTTTCCTCTATTTGCCCCTAGGAATTTTATAGTTTTAGCTCTTACGTTTAGTTCTATAATCCATTTTGAGTTAGTTTTTCTGTATGGTGTATCAGGTCCAACTTTATTCTTTTGCAGGTGGCTATTCATTTGCCTCAGTACATTTTGTTGAAAAACTTGCTTTTTCCCCGTTGAATAAGTCTGACATCCTTATTGAAGTTCAATTGACAATTAGATGTATGGATTTATTTACAAACTGTCAGTTCTAGTCCATTAATCTATATGTCTAATCTTATGCCAGTACCACATTGTTTTGATTACTATAACTTGTAGTAAGTTCAGAAATCAGAAAATGTGAATCCTCCAGCTTTGTTCCTCTTTTTAAAAAATATTTTAGCTATTCTAGAACTTTTGAATTTCCATATGAAATTTAGGATTAGCTCATCCATTTCTGCTTCTACAAAGACGCCCTATTCTTCTTACAATGGTTACAGAGAAATAACATCAAAACAAAATCACTTATGATTGCATCATCTAAACAGTAATTTTTGAAAGCCTCCTAGGTATCAAGCATGGGGAATACAGAGATCTGCAAAACATGGGCAGTCGTAGCCTAAAAATGCTTGCAATCTAGCAAAGCTGCACATGTGAACAGAAGTAAATGCTTTTCAGCATGTTAAGTAGAACATGTTTAGAGTGGCCCTACTCAGAAGTCTGTTGAACAGAGTTGATAAAGACAGGAATTTCCAAGGATACAGTACTTAAATTGAGTGTTGAGGGGAGGAGACAGAAGGAGTGCTTGAACTGAGTGCTTGAACTGAGACAGAAGGAGGAGCATATGCAAAGGAATGCAGAGGAGAACCATGACAGCATTCATGGGTCCACTGGTGCAAGGTAAGGAGTGGCAAATGAGTGACAGATGCCTCTGAAGAAGCAGATAGAATCCCATGGAGAACCTATGTGCCAAGCCAACGACTTGGGCAAACTCAAAAGATTTTCATCGGGAAAGTAGTAGGATTTTTGTTGTTGCTCTTTTCAAAAGATGACACTATGTCATCTTTTCCAGCTGACTGCCTGGAAGGAATGTATCCAGTGGCAGGAAGACTACTTAAGAGTTGGGTAATAAAGAGATGAGATAAAACTGAGCTAAGACAGTGATGTGAAAGGAGGTGACTGATTTGAGAGAGACATTAGAAGTGTGGGATTGACAGTGCTTGGTGGTTGATTCAATATGGGGAACCTAGAAGAAATGGGAAAACTTCACACAAAATTTAAGGTGTATATTTCTCTATTGTAATTATGAAGTGTATTTTGGTTTGTCATTCTCTTTTTTTACTTAGACCATTATGTTTTTCCATATTAGTGTGTGGTCTGAACATTTTTATTTGGATATAATGGATGTAAATCAATCCATTAAGTGATGAGACATCACTTACTAGTGCTTTCTGTTGTAAACATCTCTATCATGTCCTATTTTTTGGTATATTTAATAAAATCACAGTGAACAGCTGCAAATACTTTGCATTTTTCTTTTGAATCCTTTCCTTAGAATTAATTTCTGCAAGTGGTATTACTGAGTCAAAGGGTATGGACATTTTTTTCAATATACATACAAAGGTAAAAAATCCTCCTTCCCTTCCAGTTTGGTGGGCATCCTCTCATTTCCCATTTGACACATTAAGTCAAATTGTCTTCTAAAAACTGTCACCAGTTGAGATACCTATTTTCCCACCTCTTCCAAAACTCTTGCTATTATCAGACTTTTAAATTTTTACCAATTTAATAGACAAAGGAATTACCTGATAGTTTTAATTTACTTTGTCTTTATTGCAGGTGAGGGGGAACATCTTCTTATAGGTTTATTGACCATACTCATGTCTCCTGTGAATTTTCTGTTCTGATCCTTTGCTCTTTTCTCTTATTTATCTTCTTGATTTTAGAAGATCTTAATACATTGTGGATCGAAAACCTTTTTTGACTATTAACTATATTATGGGTATTTTCAACCAATCTGTGACTTTTTTTTAACTTACCCTTCATTGTATAAAAGTCTTTAATTTTTTTTAAGATTTATTTTATTTATTTATGCACACAAGAGCTGGGGTGTGGGCCAGGAGAGGGGGCCAGCCTACCCAGGATTCACCAGAGACAGAGTGGGGAACAGAACAGGCAGATTGTCTGAAATACATTGCTGAGGGGAGCAGTAAGCGAGATAGGAGAGGTCTGCTGCGCCATGTGGGTTAGATCCCTGGCCAGGGATCGAACTCATGCTTCATACCGACAGCTTCATACTGCTGATACTTAACCCCTTGCATCACCAGGGAGGTCCTGAAACCTTTAATTCTTTTGAGGCTAAGATGATTGCTTTTGTCCTTTAAATAAGCCTTTAGGTTACGTGTCTTTTTTAGGAAGGCATTCTCCACTTTAAAATTGAAAAATATTCTTTATTTTCTCTGATTTTTTGTTCTGTGTCATTTTAGTTTGTTTGTGTAGTTCTTTAATACATCGCGATTTTATTTTATAGTTGGGATAGGAGTCTAACTTTTTTTCCCCAAATGGAAATTGTCGCACAGCCACTGACTGAATATACTCTCTATTTCCCAGTAATTTGAAATGAAGTGTGAACTTTAAATTGATCTTGGTATCTAGTGAAAACTGTTATCTTAAAAAGGATGATCTAGTTCATAGAAACTGACATCAGCAATGTGTACCTACCCTAGTTTTACTGCAACCTTTTGAGTATTGGTATGATTGTTTTATTGATTGTAAGCCAATTTAACTTTGTTTATATTAATTCATAGCTATTTTGTTTCTCAATGAAAATGATGTTATATAGAGCATTTTATTGAGTAAAATCAATGACAAAACACTTGGCACTGTAGGAAGCCTTAGGAATGAACTGAAGTTTGAAATGATGACTCCCACCTCCCACCCACTTTATTTTCTTTTTTTTTTTTTAAACTTTTTTTTTTTTTTAATTTATTTTTATATATAGAGGCATGTTATTTATTTATTTGTTTGTTTGTTTATACAAGCACTGGGTACAGTCAGAAGCGCAGGAGGGTGAGAGAATTCACCAGAGCCAGAGCGGGGAGCAGAGCAGGCAGAAGGACCGAAATACACTGCTAAGGGGAGCAGCGGGCGGCAGGAGAGGTCTGCACGCCATGTGGGACCCTCCTCCGGTGGCCGGGAGCAGCCGGGGATCGAACCAGCGCCGCAGAGGCCGCGCGTAGCTTCGCAACCCAGCGCTCAACCACTGCGCCACCGGGGAGGCCCCACCCACTTTATTTTCTTCCATCTCTTCTCCCTCTCATAGGGTCTTATGCTAAAGAGGTGGTCCTCATTACAGCCAGAGTGACCTCAGAAAGGACTCCAGGAACCTGCCTATATTTTAGTGCTGCTCCAGGAATCCTGCCCTCCAGCCAGCCACCCATATCCTGCTCAGAGGAGGGAGCAGGAAATGCCACCTTGAGCCCTAGGATGACTACAGAGTGTGTCCCGGTCTGGAGCCACGAAGGCCTTGTGCTCACCAAGCTTCTCACCTCGGTAAAAGCTTCATGTCATCATGTTTTCATAGACTACCATCCTGAATGCTGGGTCTTGAGGGCTTCTAGAAGCAATTTCACCTAGTAGAAAAAGCACAGGCTTTATAATCCTGCCTGGGATGCTCTATGACCTTGAGCAAGCATCTGAGCTTCTCTGAATCTCAATTTCCTCATCTGTAAATTGGAAAACATGATACGATCTCCTAATTCAACAAACAAGAGTAAATGAGAACGCATGTAAAGTGCCCAGTACAATGCTTGGTACATAATGGAGATTTGATAAATGACAGCTATTACTATTAATTGTTGTCTTTAAATACAATAAAACATGATCTCTACCTCACAGGAATTGAGAAGCTGTAATAAGAGCCAGAATGAGCTAATTGCTATCATAGAGATGTGAGCAGAGTGTTAAACAAATACAAAATAAGGAGCAATTAACCCTAACTTGAACATTTATGGAGAGTGCTTCACAGAGAAGGTGGCATTTAAGAAAGGGAATTGTGTACAGTCGTTTATATAGTACAAAGTGCTTTCAGGTTCATTATCTCATTTGATCTTAAAATAGTCTTTTTGATGTAGCTATTATCCCATTTTACAGATGAGGAAACAGACTTAAAGAGAGGGAGTGAATTGCCCAAGGCCACACAACTGGTTAAGTGGCAGAGGCAGCACTGCAGCCTACCCAGGCTTAGTCTGTCCTGTCAGTATGGTCCCTGGTGGATGAGAAAGAAATGGGCAAAATGCAGCAGAGGGGATTCAGAGAGGAGAGATGGCTTAGAGATTGAAGTGTTCAACCTTCCAGTGTGTTCCATGATGAGGGCTTAGGAGTCACCTAGGTGAAGAGGTCAGAGAGATGCATGGGCCCAATCACAAGGCACCAGGATGACATGTTAAGATGCTACAACTTGACACTGAAGGCCATGTGGGCACTGGTACTGGGTGGAGGAGACTGGCTAAATGGAAGAGGGAGACAGGAGGCTGCTGCAGATTCTTCCTTCACATTTAAAAAGACCTTAGTGAGGAGCATGACCTGGGAACTTGGACTCAGAGAAGATCCTGGTTTCCAGACCTGGCCCTGCTTAGATAATGGGGACTTTCCCTCTCAATGGGGATACAATGCAATGACTGGACAAGAAAGCACTGGAGACATTGAGACAAATGTTAACTTGTATGGAAATAACCTCTTTCTTTCGGTTGGTCCATGAAGGAGAACCTTCTCCCTCAGAGAGATTCCTCTCTATAGCCCTTGGGCTGTGGGGAATGTGTCTTCCCAAGAGAAGATTCTCTCTTATCCCTCCCTACATCATTTCTACTCCTTCCCTGTACCCGTCCCTAGGAGGAGCTGGCTCTGTGTGGCTCCAGGCTGCTGGTCTTGGGCTCCTTCCTGCTTCTCTTTTGTGGCCTTCTCTGCTGTCTCACTGCTGTGTGCTTCCACCCACGCCGAGAATCCCATTGGTCTAGAACCCGACTCTGAGGGCACTTGCTGAGTTTCCATATTGTTCTCAGGTAAGGTTTTTTGCCCCAGCACTGTGGGAGTAGGGGCTGGGGTGGCAATTGTAACTGAGGTAGAGTCATTTCTAAACAGTGTGGCTTGATTTTACTTTTTGTATAGGTGGAATATTTTAAAAAGATTGGACTCATACATATTATTTTGTGGCTGACTTATTTCAGTTAGCATTTTGATTTTAAGAGTTATCCATAGCCGTAGTTTACATCTAAGCTTTTGGGCCACAGTGGTGAGTTAAGAGGGTTAAAATTTGATAGTACATCTTGGATGTGAATCATGTGTCTTGATTTTGTACTGAAATTAGTAAAATTTATCTTGAGCAGCTCAAAAGAATGTAATTGACGGTACCTACTTTCTAAGCATGTACTATGTGTCTTGGCACCTCATTATGTGCACCTTCTCTTTTCCATTAACCATCACTGCACTTAGAAAAAGTTGGTTCTAACAGGATTGTTGGAGGGACACAGCCTCATAAAGGTAGTAGTAGGTAGGGAACATATTGGCTAATTAGTTTGTGTGTCAACTCATTAGGGGAAAAATTTTCTTTAAATGTGTCACCCTCTCAGCTGGGCCTCAATAATTTGATCCACATATTGTCCATCCAGCTCTTAAACTGCTTTCAGCCTCAGCTGTGTGCCCTATGACAAATTGGAAGAAGTTGGAGAAGCCCAGGGCCAGGGGATGGGCTCTGGCCAGAGGAACTGGATAGTCAAGATCACCTTTGCTCAGGGCTAGATTGACTGCTGCAGTCACCTGCTTGGTCAGTCTTTCTTAGCTCTAAGTAGACTAGGAAGGGAAGACTTTCAGGTCTTCAGCATATCCTGGGGTCCAGAGGTCATGCTCACAGGGATGGGTGCCTGTACCTAGCTCTAGTTCTCACTTCCTGGGCTGCTTCCTCAATTTCTACAGCCATGCCAGAGCTCCCACCAGGGTTCTTTGACCTGCCTTGATTTTTAAAATTTTCTCTCTCCAGGTGTGAATCAACTTGTTGGACCTTGGTTCTGCATTGGAAGAGATGTTACAAAAAATGGAAAGCTGTAATGTGGGGGGAAATAAAAGGCTTTTTTGTCCACTGTTTCCCAGGGTGTTATTGGGGGTTGGATTGAGATAGGAATTTCAGGGTTGACAGGTTTAGGATGTGTGGGGGAAATTTTCCTTGTTGACTCTAGTTTGGGATACAGGTTGGCTAAGGGCATAGGTTACTTCAACTCTTGTGACTGTTTTGAAAAACCCGCTTTTGGTCTCAGCTCTGTCACTTTGTTTTGTTTTCTTCTTTGAAATAAAATTGATAATTATAGCTAATTGGGAAAGGTGGCTGTGGCCATGGGAATGCTTTGACATAAATGCATTGTGACCTTGGTCAGGTCATACAAATCTCCAGAGCCCCTCGGTTTCCTGAAGGGATTTGACAGGTTGACTTTTCCCAGCAAAGATTCCTCGAGCGTGGGAGCCATGTCTGGGCTGGAAGGCGACTCATCAGTGCAGACCATTTTCCCGCCTTTTCCGCGCGGAGCAACAGCCTTCCCTTACCCCTCCCAACCTCTACCCTGCACGCAGGCGCAGATCGCGGCTGCTCCTCTCCTTCCACCCGCGCCCCCTCAAAGCTTCCCCTAGCAACAAGCTCGGGCTCGGGCCAAGGCGGGGCGAGCGCATGCGCCGCAGTCCTCTCAACCACCAGTTGTCGGACAGCGCGCTGGCTCCTCCCGCTCCAAGCCTAGCCCTTCTCCGGGTCTCCTCCCACCTAGGGTCCGCGTGGCGCGGCGCGCGCGCACTCTGGCTCGGCGGTTGCCCATCTTCCCGGTCCCGGCAGCGGGAGAGGGGCGGGGCTGCTTCCCTTCGGCCCCGCCCCCTTTGGCCAGCTTCCTTACCGCGCCTGCGCGCTCCCGCCCGGTCTCCATCTTGGAATTGGGAGGAAGAGGGAGAGGGAGACCGGGACGAGACCAGGGCTGTGGTGCGGAGAGGCTGAGACTGAGAAGAGGAGAGGGAGAGAGGGCGCGGGACCACCTTTCACTACAGTCTTTCAGCTGCCCTCAGGAGAGAGAAGGGGAGAGGGAGGAGGCCGGGGCGGGAGTGGGGGCTGTCACCCTCGGACCCCGGCGTGAAGGAGCCGTGCGGCCGGACGTCCTCGGGTGGGCCCCCTGTTGGTGGCCGGAGACCTGGGACTCAGGCCTTTGGTCCCAAATTTCCGGGGTTGGCCCCTCGCTTCTCAAATATCCGGGTATCAGCCCCTCGGGTCCCAGATATCCGGGACTCGGGTCCCAGCCTCCCTAAACCTGGGGTTCTGTTTCATAGGATTTCAAATATCTGGGGTTCGGGCCCCTGCGTGCACCAGTATCTGGGGTTCATTCCCCACGCGTTCAAATACCAGATTCAGCCTCTCCCCGTTCAGATATCCGGGGTTCACGCCCCGCAAACAAATCCGGGATTCAGCAAGTGTCGCCCTCGAGGAGGTGGAGGACTGGACCGCGAGGTCAGATCAGGTTGTCACCCCCTCCTCTCCAGGGGAGGTTTCCCGGGCCCGCCCCTCAGGAAGGGCGAAAGCCGCAGAAGAGGTGGCAAGGGGGAACGTCTCCTTGCCCCTCTCCCTGCTTGGCAGAACCGCTGGAGGACCCGAGGAGGAGGCGCTGGGGCACCATAGTGACCCCTACCAGGTGAGACACGGGGTGCAGGGGCGCGGGAACCTGTGTCTAGCATTGAAAAGAAAGGGTGCTCCTTTCTGAGGAGCTGAGCCTGGATAGACCCTATTGCTCAGGATGGGGAAGTCCAGCTGGGCCAGTGGTCAGCCTCTGGCTATCCTTGCCATCCCTTTCATTATGTCTGAATGTTGATGGGGGACTTTAGGTGACAGGGTGTCTGATGTCATGAGAGGGGGTCACACCCTAGGATCAGACGGGATTGTGTCCTCTGGTCTCCCCTGTTCACTTTGCCTCTGACAGCTACTTCTTCACGGTTATACCCCTTTTCCTTGATTGCTCTCGGGTGTTGATTCCCATGCCTCTGATCCGCACGATGGGTCTGCTTATCTGCTTTTTAGGCATGGTGTGATTGGGTTTCTTGTCCTTTCAGGGAAGTGTGTGTGTGCATTTGTGTTTGGGGATGCCTGACAGTATTTTCCCCCAGCTGTAGTTACCTTCCAGCCTCTTGCTGTGATGGTATAAATGATCTCATACATTTGTCAAAAGATCTATCATTTACAAATGCATTACATCCATTCTCTTATGTGACCTCTCCCCTCCCCCCCACCCTTCACCCTGTGGGGCCTTTTCTGTTGCTGTCTTCCCATCTTACAGTTGAGAATATTGAGACTTAGAGAGGTTGCCCAAGGTCACACAGTGGCAGAATCAGGGTTTGAACCCAAGTTGTCAGGTTTTGCCCTGGCTATATACCTGTCTCTTATTATCTCTTGTGTGTCTGGGCTTGACCAGAGAGGTACAGAGAACAAGTGGGGGAGTGAGATTTAAGAATGGGGCGAAGAAGAGCTTTTTTAGGAAGCTGTACTCAGAAGCTTTTCCTGATGAGAGACTCTGGCTTCTGCCTTATGGATTTTTCTCTCCACCATGACCTTCATCTTTACCCTGATCCCAGCCTTTTGCCTGGGTTCCTGAGAGACTCTCTTTTCAGCCATAGTGGTGTCTCTCAATAGTTAAAGCGAAGCTGTGGGCATAGGGTAATCACCAAAGTATTAAGCTTATGCTGAGTGTCTGCATAGTGTTCCTAAGTATGAGATAATGTTAAAATCTCTCAACAGCCCCATGCTATAATCCATTTTACCCAAAAGAAGACTAAGGAACTTACTCAAAGCCCTGTTGCTGTATAGTGCAGATGAGATGTTCTGGTATTGTGGCTTTGGGACAGACGGTATTGAGTTTCCTCATCTGCAGAATGGAGATAATACTGTCTGTTTTAGAAGAGGGTAATGATTTAGCACAGACCTTGGTGATCACTCATACATCTTAGTTGAGAAAGAGGCCCCTTGTCATGTTTTATTTACATGTGGCCTAGGGTCCTGGGTTGGCATTCTTGGCTGAGTGCTGATAAAGGGGTTAAGATTCCTTTGGCAAGTTGTGAGCACCTGCCTTTGTGTGTGGGTGTGTGGTGGGAGTGAGGGGTGCTTGGCAGGAGAAAGGGGGCCTTTGAACAGCCTGGGAGCTGCTGAGGTTGGTACTCAAGGCAATCAATCAATCTCCCTGGCTATTCTGAGCCCTCTACACCCTGGGGGCCCACAGAAGAGTCAGGCTCACTCCATGCCCTCCAACTTCCAGTTGGGCTGAGGAGACAAAATTAACAACACAACAGGAAACAATGTCCCACAGAATATAATTACATGCTAAATTGTTAGGTGCTTTTAAGGAGTAGAACTCTGCTCTGAGAATCCTGCTCTGCTGAAGGTGCCTTTGTGCCTAAACTCCAACAAATGCTTAGCCAAGAGCCAGGCTTGAAAACCCCTCAAGGGGGTCTTGACTCCGATGTACTGCAGGAACTATCTCTGGGTAATTGGGTATTCTAGGCGCTCTCCCCAAGGGCTGGTGTAGTCAGGGAAGACTTCCTGCAGGAGAGGACTGAGCTATGAGTAAGTTGCTATGAGCATAATGAACACACAGGCCTGACTGGAGAGAAGGTCCTGTTCTCAGACCTTAGAGAAGTTCTTCCTTTCTATGCCCTGGTAACCTCATCCATGATATGGTGATCGTATCCTGCCCTGCTTATTGCATATTGCTGTTGTGAAAGCATAGTAATGGAGGACCAATTTTGGGCAAGTCACTTAACCTTTCTGAGCCTGTAAAATTGGGGTAATAGTAATATTTATTTCATAAGGTTGTGAGGATTGAATGAGAAATAATATGCAGTGCATATGCAGTCAATGTTATTTGTACACTGTCAGTGTCCTATATACCTCTGTGCTCTTTGTAGCTGGATTTGACAAGGGAGCCCAGAGCACAGAGAGGCCCCCAGAGCCAGACACCATTATGTCCCTGTCTTTCCCATTCTAGATCTCACTATCACAATGTCCCTGGACACTTTTGAGAGCAAGTCTCCTGGCTGCTCTGGGTCAGTACCCACTTCTAACAATGGCCGGATTTCCACTGCCTCCGGCCTGGCCATTTCCTGCTCTCTTCCAGGGTGTGAGAGGTAGAGGGAGGAGGAGGCCTCAATACCAAGGGGTACAGGAAGATGCTGGGAAATGTTTGGAGTATAGAACTTCTGGGACAGAACACTGGCTGAGAGACAGAATCTTTTATTCCTAAGGGGAGAACTAGAGATTGTAGGGAAATGGAACTTCTGAAGGGTCTGATGTGGTGGTGAGGATACTTAGCTCCCAGTCTTTCTAGCAGCTTTAGGGACTCCAGGGACCCTGCCCCTGTGCTCAAGTTGCCAGAGCAACTTTTTGGTTTTGGGTTTTTTGGGTTTTTTTCAGCTTTGATGTCCTTACTCTCCTCTTTTTTTTAAAGATTTATTTATTTATACAAGTAGTAGGCATAGTCAGAAGCGCGGGAGGGTGAGAGAATTCACCAGAGCCAGAGCGGGAGCAGAATAGGCAGACTGATGAAACACACTGCTGAGGGGAGCAGCGGGCGCGGCAGGAGAGGTCTGTGTGCCATGTGGGACCCTTGCCGGTGGCCGGGGATCGAACCAGCACTGCAGAGGCTGTGAGCAGCCTCGCAGCCTAGCACTCAACCGCTGTGCCACCAGGGGAGGCCCTCCTCTTGCTCCTCTTTAACAGTGCCTCATTAATGATCTAGGGGAGGAAAAGGCAGAACTTGAGGGACCCCATTCCTTTCTTAAAGGGCCCCATCCTTGCTCTGAGGATTCCATTTCCATTCTCTAGGGCAGGCCCCTTTCTCAGGGCCCCCAGGGGCCACCATGCCAGCTGGGGGCCGGGCCGGGAGCCTGAAGGACCCCGATGTGGCTGAGCTCTTCTTCAAGGATGACCCCGAAAAGCTCTTCTCTGATCTCCGAGAAATTGGCCATGGCAGTTTTGGAGCCGTGTACTTTGTGAGTTGGGGCTTAGGAGGGTGAAGGAGGGATGGGGCCTGTATCTTTGTCCCCATGAAACTCCAAACAGCCCCTGTA